GGTCGAAATAGAGGGCCATGGTGGCGCACACACTTGGTCAGGGCTGAAACCTGCCAGGGAAAACCCACCAAGTCCAATTGGTTTTACGCAAACACCAGGCTGCACAGAGTCACAAATCAGATGGAGCACAGGCCTGGCACCCTGAGACCCTAGAGAGCCAGAGCGTCCCTTTGAACATGCAAGTCAGGCCACGTCCTTGGAAGAGATTAATCAGGAACGAATAGGAAACTCAAGATGAGGGATGTCATGGAGCGTTAACAGAACTAGCCCGCAGCACTCCCGCAGCACTGGGGGTCTTAATTCAATCATACTGAGGATCACTTGTCTTTTCAGAAAAATTTCAAACAGAAGCAAGCTGCCAGGAGAGGTAGTGGGACCCCCAAGATGACTGACGCCTACTCCGGGCCCAGCTGGGGCAAGCGACTGCAGGGTGGAGTGTCCCTGGGCCATCCTCTCTCACTCACAGCCAGCCAACTTGATGCCAGCAGAACAGAGAAGCAAGGAGGCACTGGCCTCTGCTCAGCATTGCTGCTGGGAGCGCAGCACAGTGAAGCCGCTGCGGAAAGCTCCTCAGAGAGGCAGAGTCAGAGGCACCAATGGGTCTGGCAGCTCCACCTCGAGGCACAAGGCGGGGGACAGCAGTTAAGATGCTGCTCTGTATTGGGGTGCCTGGTTCAGGTTCTGCGGAAGGCACAGAGGGCCCAAGTGCCCACGGGGAGACCTGGGTGCAATTCCTGTTCCTGACTTGGCCAGCAGTCACAGGCATTGCACAAGCGATGACTCTCTTCCCAAGAAGAGCTGTCTTCCTTATCTTTAATACTGTTTCCTTTGCTAAGGCGGACGCACGCCTATGCAGGCCTCGGACCAGGGCAGGGAGGCTCAAGCTTTCGTACAAGTTGGTGGGACAAAAGCTTCAGTTTTGATCTTTTCTTTTTGGAGAAAAAAAATTAGGGACTGGCATATTGGCCCAAGTGATTAATCCTCCACCTACATGGACCGGGATCCCAAATGGGCACTGATTCGTGTCCCAGCTACTCCACTTCCCATCCACCTCCCTGCCTGTGGCCTGGGAAAGCAGTCGAGGACGACCCTGCACCCGTGTGGGAGACCTGGAGGAAGCTACTGGCTCCTGGCTTCAGATCGGCTCAGCCCGGGCCATTGCAGCCATTTGGGGAGTGAACCAGTGGAGGGAAAGTCTTTCTCGCGGTGAATCTCCCTTTCCAATTAAATATCTTTTAAAAACAAAAAAACTTTCATAGCTAAGAGAACCTTTCCAAAGATTTTTACTTACCTATTTTCTTTTTATTTGAAAGAAACTGAAAAAAAAAAAAAAAAACACCAGAGAGAAGCTGAACCCAGTGTGATGACCTGGTGGCTAAACCTTTGTCTTGTATCCACCAGGATCCCATATGGGCGCCGGTTCTAATTCCGGCAGCTCCACTTCCCATCCAGCTCCCTGCCTGTGGCCTGGGAAAGCCTTCGAGGACGGCCCAAAGCCTTGGGACCCTGCACCCACGTGGGAGACCAGGAAGGACTCCTGGCTTCTGATTGGTGCAGCTCTGACCACCAGCGTTCACTTGGAGAGTGAATCAACAGATGGAAGATCTTTCTGTCTCTCCTCTCTGTGTATCTCCAATAAAACAAAACAAAACAAAATAAATCTTTAAAAGAGAGAGAGCAAGCTGACAGGTCAACCAGCTGGCTCATCGTCCAAGATGCCCACCACAGCTCAGCCTGCTTGAAGCTGATGCCAGGAGTGCAGCCCTCCAGCCAGCTACGGGAAGCCAATCTCCCGAGCCACCATCAAGACCACTGGGGCCTGCACGGCGGGGAGCTGCGAGCGGCCAGAGCCAGAGCCACACATCAGACACAGGTACTTCTCTGTGGGAGTGGACATGAGAACAATACCTCAACCACGGTGGGCTCCGTAAGGCAGAGAGGTAGGGGAGACAGACTAAGCTTCCCCTGTCCCTCCCGCCCCCGGCAACAGCTGAGGCAGGGTCCCAGACTCCAATGCACCGGGGTGGCAGGGCCCCAACCACCTGAGTTGGGCTGTGCGCTAGCAGGGATGGAATGCAATCCAGACCCTTGACGCGGGGTGCTGGTATGGACCGCGAGGCCGGAGCTGCCCCAGGAAGCCTTCCATCGTGAATTCAATGAATTCAATGTTCTGTACCCAGATAGAGCTCTAAAGCCCTGGCTGTGGGACCTTTTTTTCTTTTTTTTCTTTAAGATGTTTATTTTTATAGCAAAGTCAGATATACAGAAAGGAGGAGAGACAGAGAGGAAGATTTTCTGTCTGATGATTCACTCCCCAACGGAGTTACTGCAGTGGCCAGTGCTGAGCCAATTTAAAGCCAGGAGCCTCCTCCAGGTCTCCCACATGGGTGCCGGGTCCCAAGGCTTTGGGCCGTCCTTGACTGCTTTCCCAGGCCACAAGCAGGGAGCTGGATGGGAAGCAGGGCCGCTGGGATTAGAACCGGCACCCATTTAAGATCCTGGTGTGTACAAGGTGAGGACTTGAGCTGCCAGGCTACCGTGCTGGGCCCTGTGGGACATTCTTATTCAACAAGCTCACTGTGTGTAACTATTTTTTCTGAAAAATGAGCTGTGCTTTAGTTTTGTTGCAATGATGATTATGTAGTTACTAAGTTCGTATTTGGCATAATTACACTCCTAACAGATTTTATCAAATTAAATCCAATTTGTGGCCCCCCTGCCTTTTTCTAACTTCAAGCACCAAAGCACTGATAACGGAACGGCAAGGATAACTTCTGGTTTTCTGGGTTTTCTCCCACTGAGCCTTTGGCACGTGACTCTGGTAGTCAAGCTCAGGAGTAGTGTCCCTGTAGGCAGCCTCCTTCCCCAGCCCCCCACTGCTTGGCTGAGGCCAGACTTCTAGCCTCCAGGCAGGTGGGCCAGAGCAATGTCCTAGTTTCCACGCGCTGATGGCATCGATGCAACAGGCTTTCCCCACGTGCAGACAGACTCCGGGTCTCTACAACGCAAAACTGACAAACAGATGCACTTTTGGGTGCAAAGAAAAGAAACCACTTCTTCGGATCACGTCGCTGGGCTTCCTCTGCAGGCGCCTGGGGTTTCGACCGGGTCAGTCTGGGAGTCCACGGGGCGCCCTGGAACACTCTGCTCTCTAGGCCACAGTCCCAATCCCCCGGCCAGGTCAGGGCCTGCGTGGCATGCTGGACACTGCCGACCAGGCTTGTCCCCGCGCTTCGGGACCATGCATCCACTGGGGCTGCACGTTCCCCCACCCTGCCCTGGTTCTCTGTTTGTCCACCCGATCTGCCCGAAGGGACGGGCCGGGGACTCGCGTGGGGTCCGTGCGGGGCAGCCAGCCCCGTGCCAGGGGCCACCCGGAGGGTCCCCGCCGCGCCCGGGAGGACCCTCGGCCCCCGAGGCACTCACCCTGCCTGCACCGCCGCGCTGCTCCGGTTGCCGGGACAACGCCGCGCGAGGAAGGCGGAAACAGCCGAAGGGCAACCCCGCGCGGCCGAAGCAGCCGCGGAGAGAGCCGAAGGCGCTCGGGAGTGTCCGGACGGCCGCCGAGAGCCGGGACCCGCGTCCAGGGGCCGTCGCGGGCGCACACGCCAACCTGAGGGGCCGGGCTGGGCGGGTGGCGCACCGGCCTGCACTGCCGAGGGTCAGCGGGGAAACGCGACCGCGGGCCGGTCGCAGGGCCCCAACGCAACCACGAGGCACGCTCGTCCGCCGCCCCGCGCCGAGGGCCCGCCGGCCGCTCCGGACGAGCCGATGAGGAGAGCGCGGAGTCCCAAGGGTTCGCGCCGGCTCCCACACTCGGCTTGAGGCGGCGTTTTCTTCTCACGCATCCGTCAACACGGCGCCGACCAATCGCAGCGCGGCATCAGCTCTATTGGCTGGCGGCTGACCAATCCGACGCCACGCACCGCCCGCAGGGCGCCCCCCGGCGTCACAACACGACTCGCGTCGCAGACCCGTCCCCGCGCCCCCGCCCCGAGCGCGGACGTGCGGGAGCGCGCGCCCGCTCCTAGCCAATGGGAGCGCCGCCTGGGGGGCGCGCCCGCCTCGCAGCTGTGCGTGCTCGCTCCCGCGCGCGTCGTCCCGTTCCGCCCCGCGCCCGGCCGCCCCGCCCCGGCGCGACGTCTCCGCCGGCCGCCGTAGCCGGAACTGCCGCTGGGCGCTGCGGGTCGTCGGCCGGGAAGCCCGGGCTGCGGGGTGCAGCCCCGCGCGGGGACAGGAGCGGAGCGCGTGGGCCCCCGGCGCCTGCGGGGCAGGACGGCCACAGCGGCCTCCCCCAGCCGTCGCGCCGAGGCCGGGCCTGCTCGTCGCGGCCGGTTCTGCGGGTCCCGGGGGGCGTCCCGGGGCTGCGAGAGGCCGGGCCGCCGCGAGGCGTGGATGAGAAAGGTGACTGCGCGCGGGGGGCGCGGGGCCCGGGGAGGCGCGGCGGCCAGGGCGGCGGGGCGGCGGGGTTGCGGGGCCGCCCCCGCCAGGGCCGGCCGGTCCCGAGAAGCTCCGGGGCGCCGGGTCGCTTTGCGTGCGCCTGCAGGGTGCTGTGGCCGGCCGAGGACGTGCGGTGCCCCGGGCAGGCGCCCTTCCCGCTGGCGGGGCCGCGCTCGCCCGCGTGCGGGGCGGCCGGTCGCCGACGGGCGGGTTTGGGGGTCCGGCTGCACGGGTCGCCTCTGCGCCAGGAAGGGGCCGAGTCCGCGCCTGGTCCCCGGCGCCCGAGCGGGTGCGGCCAGCCCTGCCCGGAGTCCGCCCGCCCCGGCCGGCGCCCCGGGCCTCCCGCGCCCGAGTGCGGGGCCGGTGGCCGCGCGTGCCGGGGGGCGGGGACGGGGTGGGGACGCGGGGCGAGGGCCGAGGCGGCGCGCGGGCCCGGCCATGAGCCGCGGCCTCCCGGGGTAGGCGGGCCGCGCCGGGCCGTGCGGGGCCGCGAGCGGGCGCCCGGGACGCGGGGCTCGGCCGGCCGGGCGGTGCGGGCCGGGCCGGGGGGCGGCGGGCCGGGCGGGCCGGGCGCGAGCGCGGATTTGGAACAAACAACGGCGGCCATGTTGAGCGGCCGCGGGCGCAGAAAGTTCCCGGGCCCGGCGCGGCCGCTCACGGCGCCGCCCTGTGCTCTCCCGGCCGCAGGATGACAGTGAAGCTGGGCGACGGCGGCGGCGGCGAGGACGGGCTCAAGAAGCTGGGCAAGCGGGCGGCGGAGGACGAGGCGCTGGCCGGAGACGCGCCCGGCGGGGCGGACGCGGCGGAGGACGGCGCCACAAAGCGCGACGAGCCGCCCCCGCGGGCCGGCGCCCCCGCGGCCCCGCCGCTCGGCAGCCCCCAGGACCAGCACCACTTCCTGCGCTCGAGCGTGCGGCCGCAGAGCAAGAGGCCGCGGAGGGACCCGCCGGGCGCGGGGGGCGGCGGCTCGGGGCCCCGCGGGAAAGGTAGGGGCCTCCCCTCCCCGAGGGCGCACCGGCCGGCCTCCCTCCCGGGACGGGCCACTTCCAACCCGGGAAAGGGAAAAGAAACGACCTGCTGGGTCTCGCTGCCAGACGTGAGGTGGTAGAAATGCAACAAAGGCGCGGGCTGGGGAAGCTCGGTGCGGGGGAGGAAGGGGCGGCCCTGGCCCGCGTCCTCTGCCAAGGTCCCGGCCCGCGGTGGAGGGTGGGCCGGCGTGAGGGCGCCGGAGCCCCGCGTGCGCGTGTCCCGGTGTGCTCTGCCCGGGCTGTCCTCTGACTTGCTGTTGGATTCTTTTCATCTCAGAGCGGTTTGGCCTGAAGGAAAGCTTTTACTTGGCTTCCCGTCCCGGGACGTGTTTGTCTCGGTGTGTCAGCGGTGCTGGCCCTCCTGGGGCCTCCCCCCTGCGGCCTGGGCCTCCTGGGTCCCGTGGAACTTGATTTTCCTGCCTCCTTCACCAAGAGGGCTGTCTTATGGGGTCAGGGCCTTCCCAGTTAAAAGGGGTTTTACCCAAGCACTTGACAGTGTCAGGGTGGCTTGGAAGCCTTGCTGAAGCCTCACGGGAGTTAATCTGGGTCTGAAAGAGCTGAGCGACTTGGCACCCGTTGGTTTGCGTTGCCAGCTTACCCATTTCCTGACAAGTAGCTTTGGGCTGCTGGTTCCTGGCCCCCCTCTGTGAGCTGTGCACTCCGGGTGCTGGGATGGCCTGCTGGGCGTGTTGCAAGAAGGCCAGTGCGGAGCCCACGCTGCACGTGTGTGCTTCTGTTGCAGAGGTGCCTCTCCTGGGGGTCCCCCCTAAGTAGGGGAGCAGCACCGCAGTGATCGCCCCTGAGCACCCCGGCATGTAGCTGCTGAGAAGTTTGCAGGAAAGGGGTCCAGAATGCCTCAGGACGGCCACTCTTGGCTTTCTGTTGGCCGCTCGCTGCGCGTGGATGGATTAGCTTCACTTTGCCCGGGCCAGACTCCTGCTTTAGGGGCACCCCTGCTCCGCTGTCACCTCAGGAAACTGCTGGCAGAGTGGGGTGTGAGCATGCCCCACTCGGGACCTTGCTGGGCCTGGGGACAAGTCCTGCCAACGGCGGAAGTTGTCCTGTAGGGACTGGGGTCTGCTTTGGGAAAGGAGCAGTACTCGTGCTCTCCGTGCTTTCTCTTCCGTGTGTGTGAAGAAGCCCCGTGGCAGCTGGGTAGGGCCGCTCAGCTTCCCTCTGCTCAGCTTGCAGGTCCCGGCCCCGTGGCCTTGGGGCTCGGGAGCAGGCTAGAACGGATGGCCCTGACGGCGTTGGGTGGGTCCGTGTGTAGTGTGATTCTAGAGGCTCGGTGTGCCCTGCGGGGGCTGTGGCCGAGGCTGCCTGTGCGCCAGGCCCCCTGCCTCTCCCTGCGCTGTGCAATGGGCGCAGATATGCTGCGCAGGACATCTGTGGGCCTGCTCGCCTCTGTGACTCGGGATGCTCCAAGGCCGACCTCGGACTCAGACCACATCCACAAGAACGTGGTTGGGAGGAGGGACCCCACTGCGCCACCTGGCCACCTCACCCTGTGGCTGGCTGTGGCAGAGAAGGCCGCCTCCTGGAGCCTCCCTGTTCTTCCAGAGTGGAGGTAACACACACGTTACCTGTCGCCGTGTGGGCTGCCTGTGAGTTCCTGGTGGAATCTGTCTTTGGAATCTTGGGACCGCCCTGGGAGCAGGTGGGAACCAGCAGCGGGTCTCTGCCCGCCCGGAACAGCCGCTGCTCAGTGTTCCCTGGCATGCTGGTCTGCAGGGCCCGTCCTCGGGCTGAGAGCTCGGGGCCAGGATTGGCCTGTGTGAAGGAGCTTGCACTGGTGTGTTCTGGAGAGCACCCCGGAGGGAGACTGCTGAAGTGGCCAGAACTCTGCTGGCCTGCTGCGTGGCCCTGGTACTGGGAGAGCTCAGGCGGGGCGTGTCCAGAAGGCTGCCCACTTCTGTTCAGTCTCACCATGTGCTCTTCTGGATGGGAAATTTACCAGGTTGTCATGCCCACAGGCTGCCCAGACTCACTCTGCAGCTGACCTCCACACCTGGGCTATTCCTGGGTGTTATGGTCATGCTGTGCCAGAGCTGTCAGATGGGGCGGGAGGGCACAACGAGGCAGGGATACGCCATCGCCTGTGCGATGCAGTGGACAATGCGAGGTGACAGTCAGGCTGGGGTCCTGCTGAATGGCCCAGACAGTTCCCTGTGCTCAGGGTCAGCAGAGCTGTGACCCTGGCCACTTGGGGCGACTGTACAGATGGGCCTTGCTGCATGCCTGAGGAGGAGGGTGTGCCTGCAGGCGGATGGCGGGGCCTGCTTTCCCTTCGGTGGCTTCTGGGAACCGTAGTGCAGTGTGCCTTACCGCGGATGCTGCAAGACATGAGGACACAGCAAACACAAGTGGCTTCAGGGGGCAGTCACGGCCTGAGCCTTTCCTCAGGTCCCAGTGAGCACAGCCCGGCCTCTGGGGGCCGGACCTCTGGCAGGCATAGCCCGCGGATGTGAATGGCATCTTCTTGGCAGTATCGGATTGGAGGGGCCTCCCTGCCTTGTGGGCCGAGCAGCAGCGCTGGGGGCAGGCTGACGGGCTGCGGCTTTGGGGTTTGATTTGTTGTAGGCAGCCTTGCTGGAGGAGGTGTTCCCTCCCTCACAGCTGGGCGCAGGATACCCCAGGGACACCTCTGTCTCCGCCGGGGAGTGCAGGGAACGGAGGGGCCAGCGTGGGTCCCAGAGTATTTCCCTGTGATGGGGTGTGGCACAGTGCATCCTGGAGAGGCTCACGTGATCACCACAGACGGCCCCTGCCGGGGACAAGCCAGGCACCTCCTCGGGGCCTGTCCTCGGTGGCTCCTGGCCTTGGCCTCCATGGCCTGCGTGGATGGTTCCAGCTTGGGGAGCTCATGGTGCTGAGCAGGTGGTGATGGCGTGCTCGGCATCTCACCGAGGGCAGGTCGCTCCAGAGCCGACTCCCTCGTTAGCTGTGGTGTGGAGGCCCTGACGGCCTTGGCACCCCGTGTTGACTGTGCAGGCTGTGCTTCCGCCCCGAGAGGCGGGGGTTATGTTGTCCTCCCGTATAGGCTATTGTGTGAGGTGTGGGCATCCTGGTCAACCAGGGATTGGCACTGGTGGTGAAAGCAGGTGGTCGGCACTGTGTGTGGGTGAGGTGAGGCACCCTGAGGCCTCCCCAGTCCAAGCTGTGCCGAGTCCCCACCTTGTGGGGCCTGGTGCCGGGGCTGGGCAAGGGAGAGAGCCTGTGTTCTGACCCGGGGAGCTCGCTGCTGGGGTGCTGCTCCCGTGCGTGTCTCTGCAGGTTTCTTGACTAGGAGCCCCAGGAAGCTGCAGCTGAGCCTGGTCCCCGCCTCGCTCTCACTGCATTCCTGCCTCCGGAGAAAGTCCTCATGGCCTGGAAGTCCTGTTTGCCCTCTTGTCTTTCCGCCAGCCCTGATTGACCACTTGCTTCTCTTGTCGCCCTCGCGTCCTTAGTCTCTGTTTTAGACTGACCGTTTGCAGGTGAATCCACCTGCGGCCCTCTGCATCCTCTGGTTCATTCAGCGCAAAGCCTCCGTCTTTGTGCTCAGAAGTCTGAGATTCCGTCCACCAGGGAAGTCTCGAGGGTTCTTGCAGATCCGGAACCACATCTGGCAGGAGTTACCTGGCCGTTGGCTCGTCTTTCAGAGCTGTTTTGGAAAGGCCAAGTTCATGGCATGGTGGGTGGTGCGCCAGCCTGCCCAGCTATCCCTGTAGCTGCCCCTGGTGGCTCCCCCAGTGCAGGCACGCTGCCCTCCAGCTCTCCTTCAGGGTTTGTTCTCCAGGTCTTGGGTTACCAGAGCTGTGATCCCCCGAGACCCACAGAATTCAACAAGACGTCTGGACTTTGGGCCTTCAGCAGCACTCGCGCGGCTTCCTGGTGTGCCCTGGGACTGGGGAAAAAGTTGAGGCAGTGTTGCTAGGACACCGAGCAAGTCCTGTGCGGCGCAGGGGCCGCCTTCCTCCAGCGACCGGGTGTGTGGAATTAGAGCCTGAAGAACTGGCCGCCCTGCAGTGTAACAGTTGTGTTCAGAGTGGCACTGAAACCCTCTCCAGTTGGCAGCAAAAGCTTCTGTGACCCCCAGGGAGTAGAACAGACTTGGTCTCTCATGGGAGGCATCTGGGACACCCCCGCTTGGGGCACTCGGCCGGCTGGCTGGGTGCTTCCCTGAGCGAAGCTGCTTTGCGTGCACAGTGGCATGGCGCAGCTTCAGGACTGTGGGTGTCAGCCACTCAGGGACACTGTCCACATGTCACCCTTGTCCACCAGGAACCTGGCCAGTAGGATCAAGAAACTGGGTTTTAGTTTGCAAAATTTCAGTTCATATTTAGATATAAATAGTTCCATGCAGTCAGTGACAACCGGTTTGGGGTGCAATTCTGGAATGACTGCTCCACTGAACGCACCTTTCTGTGAGTTCGGTGTTGTGGCTCGTCTGCCGATGTGCAGAGCGCCTGCTCTGATGGCGGATTTCCGGAGAGCCGTCCACCGAGTCCTTGCAACCTGCCGGGCAGCGCCTCGAGACTCCTTCCTGTTGGAGAGCAGCAGGCTGACCATAGTGGCCAGAAGGCACGGTCTCTCGCTCGCCAGCCGGGGCAGCAGCTCCAGCCCAGGTCTGAGCGGTTTCTGCAGAGCGCAGCTCTCTCCCCCACCACCATGAAAGTGCAGTGTGGTGACAGGGGCCACGGCGTATAGCTGCACAGCCCAGCGAGCTGCCTCTGTCCCGTGTAAGGCAGGGGCGAGGGTAGCCCCTTGGTGGGCTCTTGTTTTGTTAAGATGTGTTTATTTTTATTGGAAAGTCATATTTACAGAAAGGAGACAGAAAGATCTTCTGACTGCTGGTTCACTCCACAAGTGGCCGCAACGGCCAGAGCTGAGCCGACCCCAAGCCAGGAGCCTCTTCCAGGGTTCTCGCGTGGGCACAGGGTCCCAAGGCTTTGGGCCGTCCTCGACTGCTTTCCTAGGTCACAGGCAGGGAGCTGGAAGGGAAGCGGGGCTGCCGGGATTAGAACAGGCACCCGTAGGGGATCCCGGCATGTGCAAGGCGAGGCTGCCATGCCTGCCCAGCTCTTAGGGCTCTTTTCCCAGAGGCAGTCTTTGCGGGAGCATGTGGATTAAGAGAGTTGGTTTGTTTCTTTGTTTTTGGTTTCTGTCATCGTCAACCGACCGTACTGGCCTGCAGGGCCTGTGGTGACAGACCTCTGTCCAGGGGCCACCAGGAAGTGTGTCTGGATGGAAAAGCCCTTGGCTAGCTCGTTAGGGAAGCATTTTAACAGTAATGCACATTTGCTTTTCTTTGGTTTGCTTCTGTGGTCTTAGCTCCCTGTAGAGTGTTCCAGAATTGGGAGGTGTCCGGGTTGTGTGGCCCTGCAGCACCGTGAAAGATGGTGGTGACAACAGAGGTGCTGGGCATGGCAGGGGAGCAGGAGGGGCCTTTGCCCCTCCCCCTTTGGTTCCTGTGCTGTGCCCAGTGCTCTGTCCACAGCTGCCACGCTGGGCATCGCTGGGCTTCCATAGGGTTGTCGTCAGCCCGTGTGTCCCAGGAAGGACTCTGCCTGAAGTGGGAGAAGCGTGAGGGGATCTGGTAGGAGTGAGAAACGAGGGCTCAGCTCTCCGATGAGGCTGTGCGTGTTCTGACCTGCTTCATGCGCATGTGACGTCGTCACGACTTTTTAATGTTCAGCTTGCTTATTCAAAAAGAGACTGTTTCCTTCAAATCCTGGGGCGAAGGCCTGGTGAGCAGCATGCGTGGAGGGGATAGGATCTCAGCCCGGCAGGGATAGTGCGTGAGGTGCTGGGTTCCTTGTGTGGTCCTCCTGGAAGTGTCACTGGCACGTGGTCTTGGACACTGAGCCCTTTTCCATCTCCCTGCCCCGTTCTGCCTCGCCTGACACCCTAGCTTGCAAAAACAGCTCACTGTGTGGTCCTTTCTCTCCAAGGAGCCGAAGGTGGCGGGTCGGCATCTGGAAATGTGGCTGGGGTTGCCCCCAGTGCCCCTGCTGGGGGCTCACGCTCCTCCTCCCGGAACTTGGGATCGTCAGGTGCCGAGAAGGAAGAAGGCAAAAAGGTGCGGCGACAGTGGGAGTCGTGGAGCACAGAGGACAAGAACACCTTCTTTGAGGGGCTGTACGAGGTGAGCTGGGAGGGTGAGGGGCGGCTCCTGGGGGGCTGTACGAGGTGAGGGTGACGGGGCGGCTCCTGGGGGGCTGTAGGAGGTGAGGGAGACAGGGCGGCTCCTGGGGGGCTGTTGGAGGTGAGGGTGACGGGGCGGCTCCTGGGGGGCTGTAGGAGGTGAGGGAGACAGGGCGGCTCCTGGGGGGCTGTTGGAGGTGAGCTGGGAGGGTGAGGGGCGGCTCCTGGGGGGCTGTTGGAGGTGAGGGTGAGGGGCGGCTCCTGGGGGGCTGTAGGAGGTGAGGGTGAGGGGCGGCTCCTGGGGGGCTGTAGGAGGTGAGGGAGACGGGGCGGCTCCTGGGGGGCTGTAGGAGGTGAGCTGCTCACTCTGTGTCTGTTGATCCTGGCCGCGTGGCTCTGAGATGAGCAGGTTCAGCCTGGAGCCTTGGTGGTGGGGGCCTCACCCCTGACTTTGATCTCTGTCCACCTGGTGACCCTCAGGCTGCTGCTGAGGGCTTATGGGGATGTTTGTGTTGTCTTCCAAGGCCTTTTCCTCACTGAGGTCTGGCCTCTGCTCACCTTTTGGAGGTATGTGTGCCCACACCGAGAGTGGTCAGGGGCTTCCCGTGTCCATCAGCGCCAGCTAAACCCAAGAATTCCTGCCGAGCAGTAACGAAACAGTGTGGGGGTGCAGGCACGCTGCGCTGGAAGAGGACAGGTCCATGCCGGCCTTTTCTGCTGTCAGCTTTGAGATGGCTGGACGGGCTTCACCACCCCCCTCTTAACTATTTATTTTATTTATTTGAAGGGTGGGCGGAGTTAGAGTGAGAAAGAGAGATATCTTCCATCTTCTGCTCCTTTACTCCCCGAGTGGCTGCTGTGGCTTGGGGCTGGGCCAGACCAAAGGCACGAACCAGGAGCTGCTTCCTGGTCTCCCACGTGGGCGCTGGGCCCAGACACTTGAGCCGTCGTTCAGAGCTTTCCTAGCTGCGTTAACTAGGAGCTGGATGGGGAGTGGAGCTGGGATTTGAACCGGTATCCATGTGGGCCCGTGCTGTCACAGGTGGTGGCTTAGTTAGCTATGCTGCAAGTCTGGCCCGGTGAGCAGGCTTTAATGCACTTCAGTGCAGTTCCCTGGTGTTTCACGAGCCTCTAGCGCGTTAGTTGATTTTGAAGCCTAATAATAATTGTTCTTGAGATGTAGGCAACTTCTGGCCTGTGTGTCTGCTTCCTGTTTTGAGGAATGGTGTTAGTGGAACCCAGGCCTGCTCCTTCGTTTGTGGCGGATTGGGAATGGCAGCATAGCTGAGCGGCCCACAGGGCCCGCACCACAATGGCTGGAGCTGAGCCAATTTGAAGCCAGGAGCCAGGAACTCTTCCGGGTCTCTCACGCGGGTGCAGGGTCCCAAGGCTTTGGGCCGTCCTCGTCTGCTTTCCCAGGCCACAGGCAGGGAGCTGGATGGGGCGGGGGGGGGGGGGTGGGCACCAGGACATGAACTGGCACCCATATGGGATCTCAGCGCATAGGCTAGGATTTGGTCACTAGGCCATAGCTCAGGGCCTTTTTTTTAAGAAGTAAATTCTTTTTAGAAAACAAATTAACAGGAAAGATTTACACATTTACTTGAACACAGTGCAGGCACTGGCTCCCCTCTGGAATGTGCACCCCACAGGCAGTGGCTTAACTCACACCACACCCTCCTTCCTTGTTGGTTTTTGTTTTTTTTTCCCCCCACAAGGTTTATTTATTTGTTTGAAAGGCAGAGTTACATAGAAAAATCTTGTGTCTGCTGGCTCACTCCTAAAAGAGCTTTGGTGGTCAAGACTGGGCCGGTGGCAGAGGCCGGGCGGCAGAGGCCGGGCGGCAGAGGCTGGGCGCGGAGGCTGGGCGCAGAGGTTTGTTTGTAGAGCTCCCATGTGGGCCGTCTTGCTGCTGTTGCAGGCGCTTTGGCAGGAGCTGAATTGGAGGTGAAGCAACTGGCTTAAAACAGCGCTGTAAAGACGGTTAAGGTGCTAGGCTACAGCACCTGCATCCCTAACCTGACTCCCCAGCGTTGTAATCGTCTTCCGTTTCAGTGTTGCTTCTGAACAAAGCCAACCACTAGCCTGGATGCTGGCGTCCTTAGAGGTGTCCGCTGTCTTGTCCGTTTTCAATATACAGTTCCGCTGTCTCACCTCCGGCCCTGTGGGCAGGAGCCTGTGCTGGGTGCCTACTCTCCACTGTGTCCCTGATGCTGCCCTCGCAGCCTTGTAACTCCCGCTCCAGGAAAAAGTGATTAATTCCTCAAAGTTGTGGAGGAGCCAAGAGTAGATTGCCAGCACTTGCGAAGGACCTTTTTGTATCGTAACAGTTGTGGAGGGGCTATGTGGAGTTTAGGGTTCACCCTTAGGGCGTTGTCCCACCCTAATCACCTCCCACAGGGTCCACCTCCTGGTACCATTGACAGAACATGTGAGGGACCCCGTTTCCAGCCAGCTTTTAATGGGGTTGTGGCATTGTTGGCCTTTTTTCTTTAAGATTGATTTATTTTTGGGCCCGGCGCGGTGGCGCAGTGGTTAAGGTCCTCGCCTTGCACGCCCGGGATCCCATATGGGCGCCGGTTCTAATCCCGGCAGCCCCGCTTCCCTTCCAGCTCCCTGCCTGTGGCCTGGGAAAGCAGTTGAGGACGGCCCAAAGCTTTGGGACCCTGCACCTGCGTGGGAGACCCGGAAGAGGCTCCTGGCTTCGGATCGGCATAGTATCGGCCGTTGCGCTTACTTGGGGAGTGAATCATCGGACGGAAGATCTTCCTCTCTGTCTCTCCTCTCTGTATATCCGCCTTTCCAATAAAAAAAATAATAATAAAAAATTTTAGATTTATTTATTTTTATTGGGAAGTCAGATTTACAGAGAAAGATCTTCCATCCACTGGATCACTCCCCAAGCAGCCACGATGGCCAGAGCTGAGCTGATCCAAAGCCAGGAGCCATGAACCTCTTCCTGTGTTTCCCATGCGGGTGCAGGGTCCCAAGGCTTTGACCGTCCTTGACTACTTTCCCAGGGAACTGGATGGGAAGTGGGTTGGCCGGGATTAGAACTGGCTCCCATATGGGATCCCACTGCATGCAAGGTCAAGTCTGTAGCCACTAGGCTGCTGCACCGGGCCCCAGATAAGTGGACCTTAAGGATAGCGTTTGGTTCCCACGGTCTGGAGGCTGGGAAGTCGAGGACTGGGCTCCAGCAGGTGCAACTTCCTGCTTCCCAGGCAAGCCTGGTTCCTGTGTGTCCCCACACAGGTGTGTCCTTGTGGCTCAGTGCTGCTGGCAAGGCCTTGAGGCTGAGGGCCTGGATCCTGCTGCAGACACAGGGCCTCGTTTGCCTGATCACCTGGGACTGTGGCGTGTGACCCCCGAGGGCCCACCTCTGCTGCATCCTGGACCCCACGGGTTACGTAGTGTAGCGTCAGTGTCTAGCCGGGTCTGTGCAGCTTCTTTGGCGATGTGGGGTCGGGAGGAAGTTTGCTGGCGTGTCACAGGCTCCCTTTCTGCTCTGTAGGTGGGTGGACATTGCAGGGAGAGCCACGCTGTGCTGACACCCACCCTGCTAATGTGCTCATTCACTTCCAGCACGGGAAGGACTTCGAGGCGATTCAGAACAACATCGCCCTGAAGTACAAGAAGAAGGGCAAGCCCGCCAGCATGGTGAAGAACAAGGAGCAGGTCCGGCACTTCTACTACCGCACGTGGCACAAGATCACCAAGTACATCGACTTCGGCAACGGTGAGGCCTGCTCGGGGCGGGCAGCGGAGGGGCCTGCTGCTCGGGGCGGGCAGCGGAGGGGCAGGCTTCCGCCCGAACGCCCAGCGGAGCCTGTCCCACCTGCAGCCGTTCAGTGGTTTGCCTGGAGACGGGAGCGTGCTGTGCTGCAGCTTTCCTGTCCCTGCTCCCCTGAGGCGTGTCTGCTGTAACCCCAGTGGTTCCGGGCGTGCATGGCTCCAGCTCCCTGCTCTGGCCCCCAGCCTGTGGCCACCGTGAGTGCGAGTCCAGCTGCAGATGCTAGAACTGAAATGCTGGCCCAGTTAGGGACACAGAGCGACCGCTGCAGAGCCTGGTGCTAGAGTGGTGGCTGTTCCCCCAGGGGCTTTGACTAGCACCCGTGCTGGAGTCCGTCTTTGCATGGTCTATCTTGAGACCTGTGATCGAGGCACCTCCAGGTGCACTCCTGCAAAGGGCGCCCTCGAGCCAGCGTCTGAACTCGGGAAGTTTTGCTGTCCTGAGCCTCATGTGCGGAGCCACCACCAAGGAGGCACTTGTGTCTCTCCTCTTTCAAACCCACCTTCTCTTCAGATCAGGCTATTCTGCCTGGGACACCTGCAGCTGTCTCACTGTGGGTCCCGTGCCCGTGGCTGCCTCCTTGTCCCTGCTGTTCTCGCCATATCCTCCACATTGACCATCAGAGTGAATCCTGCCACACACCCTCCCCTCCCCTACAGAAGCAGAAGTACCCGTCTCAAGGATGCCTTAGAAATGGGCTGTCATTCTCTGCTTGGGGATTGGTCCAAAGCTCCTTGGGTCGTTGGCGTTTGGTGTCTGAACCCCAAGTGATGTGAACTTCCTGCTGCACATCAGCCTCACTCTGCCCCAAGGTAGCTGACCTTACATTCGTTGAGCGGCTCCTCTTCAGCACCAGGCTGGAGTTCACTGTCAGTGTCAGGCTGTAGCGAGCATGCCCCCACGCATCAGGGCAGGGTCTGGGCTCTGGCATCTTTCCCATTTTCTTGTTGTGATTTGAGAAAGTATGCTGTGACAGCAGGTCATCCAGTGTGGCTGGTCTCTCTCTGTCCCCAGGACCCCTGGAGTGCCTCGGGCTGCTCCCTGCTGTGGCATGGTGGCACGCTGTGTGCTGTGCTGTCCCATCTGTAGTTGTGTCATTGATGAATAGGAGCAGAGTGTGGGCTAGCTGCCGGCGAGGACCCTGGGGCCAGTCCCGCCTTGTCTCTGCCCATCGATGCTGAGGAGGCATGATGTCTGTTTCCATCTGGCAGTGGGTGATAGATCCACTCTGACCCTGGGTGTAGATCCACGGTCACCTCTTCTGGTGTCTGCTGTTGTCCTAAGTGTTGTTTTAGGAACTTGCGTGGGTATGGATGCATGGGAGCATGCCTAGCGGAGCGCAGGGCCGTCTGCCAGTCCTGGAGTCTCACAGCTGAGTGGTGTCGGTCACGTGGATGGAAGCCATGTAGGCTGTTTGGCCCTGGGAGCGGTCCTCGCACCCCTGGAGCCCTCACCTTGGGTCACATGCAGCACCTGCTCCTCTGCGGATGGGCGCACGCTCCCTGCTCTCATTCTTATAAACTAGCAGTGGAGAGGTGGGGGGAACCTGGGCCTGAGAGGGCTGCTAGGACACAGGTGACCCTGTCTACTCCGTGGCGCCTGGGCTCTGCTCTTTGAGGCTGCAGTCTGCCTCATGGGATCAGATGACAGCAGTAGTACTGTCAGCACACGAGGCCCCAAGGTCGTCTGCTGTGTCCCGGGGCTCATTGCAGTGCCCAGGATGGCCCCTGATGGGCCCTGCTGTGTCTGCACAGCCTGTCGCCCACAGCAGCCACTCCGGGTGTCTCGGCTGGCTTGTTCCCAAGTAAAGCTGAGGCTGCTAGGGGAGGCAGGCATGCCTGGGAGGGACCCTGCTACTGGGCCCTGAGTTCCATGGTGGGGGTCTTCCTTGTCAGTCTGGGAAGACACAGGTGGGCTGGGAAGGGAAGCCTCCCTAGTTCCAGGATGCTAGCTGCACCCGTGCCTGGCAAGCTCAAGTGGGCATGGTGCCCTCCTGCTCCTTGCTGGGACGCATGTGTCCGGAGGCATCTGCTTGCCTTATGCACACACACCCCATTTCTCTTTGACTTTGAGAATCGCCCATTCTTCTGTACTCCCAGGCCAGGTTTGTCCGAGGCCTCAGTGAAACTGGGGAGGGCCTAAGCCAACACCAGGCAGCTTACCCAGGCCTGCTGGGTGAGCACCTGGGCACTGCGCTGTGGCCAGGGCTGTGTAGGTGCTCTGCTTGAGGCCGTCTCCCTCTGTGCTGCAGTGTTCTCCCGAGGCCTGAAGAAGTCGTCCCAGGAGCTGTACGGCCTCATCTGCTACGGCGAGCTGCGGAAGAAGATCGGCGGCTGTGAGTGTCCCTCCCGGCCCTGTGACTTGGGGTGGCTGCTCTTTCCCCTCTGACCCTGGAGGTGATGAGCCAGTGACCACCATGCACTTCCAGCTCAGTCACCGCTGGCCACCATCTGTGTGCTCTCTGCCCTTCCCTCCCGCAGGACGCACACACGTCCACACCCATGTACCTGCTGCTTTCCCACTCTAGCCTTTAGCTGCACCCTTTGGTTCTTCACATGACCTTGAAGCTGTCCCTTGCGTGGCTGTAATACCTCACCAGCTGAGGATGGGACCTGTGTGTGACCATGGGCTCCTGGGCTCACAGACCCAGAGCAGGGCACTGTCTTTGGAAGCATCTGGCCCCTCCCTTGCCAGCACTGGGTGGGGACACCCCCGCCCTGGGGCCTGTGCCAGGGCATCCTGTGTGGCCCAGGGGCCACGGCTGGTTGGCTGACCACTCGCTCTCCCTCTGCGTCTGCCCTTCATGCCGCCCGGATGAAGGCAGGCCGCTGTCAACCTGACACTGTGACTATCACACCCTGAGACACACCTCCGCCCTGCCCAGCATCCCCACCTCTGGGGCGGGTGCTGGATGCTGCCCTCCTCCTGAGTCTCCCTGCTTGGCTGTGCCATCCCTACAGCTTCAGGTGCCGCGTGGGTGTTGGTTGCTCCCTCTAGTCCCTGTGACCCTGTGACTGCCCTGTGGTGTCAGCTGTCAGCCTCCATGCCTCCCCCAATCCATCTCATGGCCACTCTCCTTGGACAGGAGTAAGCAGCTGGTGTCACCCCGCTGCTCAGGCTGTCCTGGGAGCCAGGGCTTCTTCCCTGGCTGCCTGGCCTTCCCCTGCTATGGCCTTCCCTCGGGGGGGCTTGAGTTGATATTTGTTTGTTTGCTTTTTAAGATTCATGTATTTGTTTTGAAAAAGTTAGAGGGAACACCAGAGAGAGGTCCTGCCGTCTGCTGGTTAACTCCCCAGATGGCTGCAGTGGCTGCTTTGGGCCAGGTACTGCATTCTGGTCTCCCACGTGGGTGCAAGGTCCCAGGCACTTACGGCAGCCTCTGCTGTTTCTCACAGGCCATGAGTAGGAACCTGGTGTGGAATGGAGCATCCAGGACTTGAATAGGTTGCCGTATGGGATGCTGACTCTGTAGGCTGTGGCTGTTCCCGTTACACCACAATGCTGATCTCTCGCAGTGGCTTCTGGTCTTGGCAGTCTGTGGGGTGCCTGCTTCCCATGGCACAGTGCTGGGTCTGCCTCCAATGTCTCCAAGCCCACATTAGTGTCTGGGCTCCTGTGATCCCTGCTCCGTGACGTTGGGTGACTCACCCCAGAATGCCACTAGCCTCCCGAGGTCCTAGAGCTCCGCCTTTCTGGTCGCGCCCCGCTCTCTCAGTGTTGCCTGCTTCGGTCCTTTGGCATTGCTGCGTGTGCCACATGTGCAGCTCTTGGCACCTGAAGCCACAGCTATGTCAGTCATGTGCCTTGTTCGCTTGTCGCCCGTGTCTTGCTGTGTGCCTGTGGGTGTGCATCTCTGCTCTGCCTGGCCGCTGTGCCTGTGTGGGGGGCACTGAACTGCCTGGCCGCTGTGCCTGTGTGGGGGGCACTGAACTACCTGGCAACTGTGACTGAGAGGAGGGCACTGAACTGCCTGGCAACTGTGGCAGTGAAGTCTCCCGAGTCGTGGACGAGGTCTGCTCTTGCCCTTGCACGTGGGCTGCCTGTGTCAGACACCGTCAGCTTTTCTGCGGGGTGATGTCATTCCTGCTAGCAAAAGCGTTTGAGGCTCCTCCAGTTTGATGGAAAAGATGTGCTCAGGGCTCTTTGCTGGGCATGTGACTGGCTTGCCGTGCACTTGGCCTCTGCCCGTGCCACTGGGGCACAGCAGCAGTGGGGTGCTAGTGCAGGGCCAGTTTTACATGGCTCTCCCCAGTGCTCGCTGCCTGTCCTTCCTTGCTGGTGCAGAAGCTAGCCTTGAGCTCCAGGCGCAGCCTGCTGCGGTGGTGTGCCTGCTGCCCTCGGCCAGGACGTCCCAGGCAGCTGCCCCTCGTGCCGCCCTCCATGCCTTTCCCACACACCGCTGGTTTCCCATCGCTCCTGAGATGAAGGCAGAAAGGGCCATGTGTCACGCAAGGCTTGCACGATGTGATGTGCCCACAGGCCTCCCTCTGTGCACCCTTCCAGGCGCCGCTGTCCCTGCCATCCCTCCCTCAGATCCCGGGGTGAGCGTGGCAGATTCCCCCATCCCCGCTAGGCGGGGCTCTGCCCCTTCCTGTGAGCGGCTCCACGTCCACTATCATTGTCTGGTTCTTTGCTGAAATCCCTTTCCATCTTCCAGTTGCACTAGCTATGGATTCTTGTTATGTTTCTTTTCTTAAGATTTAGTTTATTTTTCATTGGAAAGGCAGATATACTGAGAGGAGAGACAGAGACAAACATTTTCCATCCACTGGTTCACTCCCCAAGTGGCCGCAACGGCCAGAGCTGAGCTGTTCTGAAGCCAGGAGCCCCCTCCGGGTCTCCCACACGGGTGCAGGGTCCCAAGGCTTTGGGCCGTCCTCGTCTGCTTTCCCAGGCCTCAGGCAGGGAGCTGGGTGGGAAGCGGAGCTACCAGGATATGAATAGGTTCCCATATGGGATCCCGGCAGATATAAGTTGAGGATTTAGTCACCAGGCTGCTGCACCAGGCCCTGTTTTATTCTGTAATGTCATCTTTGCATCTTTGCTGAATGTCCAGCCCAGGTTTGGCAGGTTTCAGCAGCGTTCGTGGCCTGTGCTACGCTCCTAGTGGCTAGTTAGTCCCTGCCCCTGCATGCGAGTTGCAGTGTCTGTCTCCGGCCTGTGTGCTTGCTGCTTGGTTTTGTTTCCTTCAAAGTTTTTTTCTTTTTCTTTTTTTTTTTTTTTCCAAACTTTGAGAAATTTGGAATGAGTGCCCAGACACCCATCCCTCTGTTGTCTTCCTGACTGTCGGTTGTCCATGACCCTCCTGCAGCTCAGCATCTCCATCAGCAGTGAGAACGGCAGGGAGCTGGACGGCGTGACAGTGTCTGGCTGTCATTCCGGGGTGCTGGGTCCACAGCCAGGCCCCTGAGGCACACAGGCCAGGGTTCTGTGTGGGGAGCTGGGGCGTGCACGTGGGTAGGCTGCTGGCCTGATTGCTGGTGAGGGACTCGCTGCACCTGTGGAGGTTTCCCTCTGGGTCAGCTTGATCCCTTAGCAGCCATCCTCGGTGTATGTGATCCGCTGGGTAGGACGGCGCTGCTGGCGGAGCCTAGTCTCACGTGTTTGTTTTCTGTCTGAAGGTATGGATGACAAGAATGCAACAAAGTTGAATGAACTCATTCAGGTCGGGTAAGTGAGTTTGCCAGGCTTTGTTTGTAAAATGTTATTTATTAAAGAAACGGCAAGTGAACAAGTGTGTGCATGCTTTTATCTGCTGGTTCACTCTACAAATGCCCATGACACAACCCCACAACCTGTGCAACTATATCATAAAACAAAATAAAGAACGTTTATAAAAAGTGCCCGTGACAGCTGGAGTTGATGAAGTGGGAGTAGGAGCTGATGCAGGGCCCCAGCTCCTTGAGCTGCCATCGCTGCCTGCCAGCCTCTGCCCTGGCAGGAGCGCAGCGGCCATGGCCTGTGGCCGGCCTGACCGCTAGGACAGACGCCTGCACTGAGCGCTGCTGGCTCTTGGCCTGCTGCAGCTGGAAGCATAGACGCTGACGTGGGTGCGCCTTTCTCCATGAAGACCCTCCGAGCTGGACCTCGGTGTCCGCTCAGTAGTCGGTCAGTCCTGCAGGAGCTGTCAGCCTGATGGAGCTGCACGCTGCCGGAGTCCACTCAGGCTATCTTCTGCCGGGGGCGCTGACCTGTGACTGTGACCTTGACATTCTGAAAAGACCCCAGACTGTGCGCTTCACATCCTCCACCCCCTGGCATCCACGAGGCCTGTCCTCCTGCTGGTCCAGTCTCCAGCCCCCCACCCCTGCTCCTCCTCATCGCACTTCTGCCAGGCCTCAGCAGCCAGTAACACCAGCTGCCAGGGCACCTGGCCTGGGCAGTGTCTGGATCCTCTCCACCCTGTTGCTTGGACCCTAAACTGGTCCCCAGTTCTTGCTGTTTGCCACCTTTCTGCCAAGCTCCCCGGTGCTGCTCAGCCCCATGCCCTGCCTGTTTCAGTTCTTCTGGGTAACACTGCAGGTGTTAGTCCTGTGCTTCACCTGCATGTTGCTTTCTAAATCCCACTAAAGCCTGGCCCCTCCCCGGTGGCTGCACTGGCCCTTAGCTTTTGCAGCAGCAGCAAACTCCTGCTCGCTGAGCCCTGCGCGTTTGACCTGCCTTACTCAGACCCCTCGCGTGCCCTCTCCTAAAAGCCGCTCCTGACCCTCTGCCCCCAGGACAGCCTTCCTGGTCTCCTCTGTCTGCAGGATGTTGTCACCTCCTCTCTGTCACTTGGCTTTCCTTCTCTCCTCCAGAGACCCGAGGTCAAACCTTGGGAACTCTTGGTGGACACCTGCCCAGCGCTGCTGTGTGCTTTTTCCTGTTTCCATCATGAGCGTCTTTCGGAGGTTCCTGAAGCTGTAGCTGAGCCAGACCCCATACAGCTAAGTCATATGGTTTGCTGCTTAGGAAGGAGCCAGGATTGCTGACCAGGTCCCCGCGGGAGGGCACTTGCTGTCTTCTGAATGCAGTAGAACTTCCCGTAGTGGGTCTGGGGTCCAGGTGGAGGCTGTCGGACGAGGAGTCTGCAGCAGCAGGCTGTGGGCTGGCCGCCAGGCCGGGGCTTGGTTCACACTGACACAGCAACTGTGCTGTGGGATTTTTTATCTTTGTACTCAGAAGAATATGGAAGATTCCTGTGCAGCATTTCGCTCCCCAGATGCCTGCATCAGCCGAGGCTGGGTCAGGTTGAAGCGTGGAAGTGAGCGTGCTCTCTGGTTATCCCACAAGAGTGCCGAGGGCTCAAGTCCTGCAGCCGTCGCAGGCAGGAAGCTGACCTTGGGAGTTGGGCTAGGCATTGAGCCCAGTCACTGCAGGATGGGACATGGGTATCTAGACATTGCCAGACCAATCACCACCCCAGATCCCGGACTGTTAGTTGAGCAGAAAAGGAAAGGAATGGTTGTAGAGAACAATATAAACTACAGGGCAGTCTGATTCTGTTGACACCGTAATGCCAAAATTAGAGCCATTCCTTTAAAAAAATTATTTAAAAGGTAAACACAGAAACATTTTTTATTAATGTATTTATTTAGGGGAGTGCATATGTACAGAGTGAGTGACAGAAAGATCTTCGTCCTCTGGTTCACCCTGACATGGTTGTAATGGCTGCAGCTCAGCAGATCCCAGGTTCTGTTCCAGGGGATAGATGTCCTACGTGGGTGCAGGGTCCCAAGGTTGAGCCGTTCTTCACTGCTTTCCTAGGACACGAACCAGCAGCGGTATTGGATGCTGGCACTTGCACGTAGAGGATTAGCCGGTTGGGCCATTACACTGGCCTCAACGCAGGAGTCTTCTGTCCAGCAGTCCACTCCTGAAGCCTGCAGCAGCCACAGCAGGGCCCAGGCCAGAGCCAGGACCCTGGAGCTCAGTCCAGGTCTCCCACACGGACGGCAGGGATCCACGTTTGTGGACTCCCCAAGGTGCCAGCAGTAAACTGGATCAGGAACTGTGTTATGGGGTGCTGGTATCCTGACCACTGCCCCAAAGCTGTTTCTTCTTTTTGGATTTATTTTTATTACAAAGTCAGATACACAGAGAGGAGGAGACAGAGAGAGGAAGATCTTCCGTCCAGTGGTTCATTCCCCACGTTGCTGTGCCAATCAGGAGCCAGGAACCTCCTCCAGGTCTCCCACACGGGTGCAGGGTCCCAAGGCTTTGGGCCGTCCTTGACTGCTTTCCCAGGCCACAAGCAGGGAGCTGGATGGGAAGTGCGGCTGCCGGGATTAGAACCGGCGCCCATATGGGATCCCGGGGTTTGGGGTGTTTAAGGCAAGGACTTTAGCCGCTAGGCCACATCGCTGGGCCCAAAGCTGTTTCTTCTTAGAATGGGATCCCAGCTGTGTTTCCTGCGATATGGGAATGGTAGTGATGCGGGTTCCTTGTGGAAGCCTGTTGGGAGCTGAGCAGGCGCCTGTGGGGGATTACACTCATGTTCCAGGCAACATCACTGAGGAAAAGCTGCCTTTCCTTGAAGACCACAATTTGTTTTATTGCAATTCTAGAATTAAGCAACACTTTATACTATAAGGTAGTAAAGATAATACTAGAATTGTGTTCTTCAAAATTATGGAAGTATATATACACTTCTATATATACAGTCAAATGTGACCGTCCCAACCACTCTGTCCCCTCCTCTCACTAAAGATAACCGCAGTGGTCATTTGGCTCGAGCCCTTCTCCACTTTCTTCCTTGGGAACACACATGCACAGGGGCCAGTACAAACGTGTGTAAATCGCCTTTCCCCTTCTGCCTGTCACTCCCACTGCTGTTTCTCAACAGTTAGGACAGACCCAGCCCTTTCCATCTCACCTGACTAAAGCAGGAGGCCACGGAGCACTGCGTGTGTGCTCTGCGCGTTCTGTAGGACCTGGAGAGCCACGTCCACTCACCAGCTGGGGGGATGGATGCTGCTCCCACTAGGACACTCCTGGGAATTCCGCTTGGATGTTCTTGCCAATCAAACTCCAGCAAAGATACATCCTTTAAAATTGCATTTCCAAACCAGCCAAGAGCCTTGACGGTAGCAGCAAGGCTTGAGTACGTTCTTGGTTTCATGCTCATTCGGTTTGTTTTGGAATTTTTGTGGTTTCAGTCCACCTCCAGTTGTAGTAAGCAGATTGCAAGCAGATCTACAGAATCTGGCCGAGTTGTTGGTCATTTAGAGGGAGTGTGCCCTTGTGACACCCCAGACTGTCTGTGCGTCCCTGGGTTCTGAGGGGCAGTGCTGACGTAGCTGGGCAGAGGCCCCTTGGCGGAGGAGGGAAGATTGGTGTTCACGGCATGGCTGCCCTCTCCCTGGGAGCAGACCATGCATCGCTGCCATCCTGGGGAAGCAGTGGGGATGATGGGACAGCTGTGGAGGCCACAGTGGGGATTCGGGGATCCCCCTGCATCGGCTTGGCACATCTCGGACAGACTGGCCCGCCCTTCCTTTTGTCAGCCTAGGATCTCATCATTTCCTCAATTTTGTTCCCAGGGCGACGACCGTGCGCTACAAGGGGAGAAACCTGAGGATCAAAGCGCCCATGTGTCGAGCCCTGAAGAAGCTCTGTGACCCCGATGGTGCGTGTCACTCCGTGTCATCCCATTGAGAGAGTGGCCAGCCCCTGAGCCGCTGTGAAGAATGAAGCTGGTGCCTGGTCTGTGCCCTGCCTTGGCATGAGCCTGGGTGGCACTGGCCATTTCTCGCTCACTCTGCAAGGCAGCATGCCCACAGCTGTTTTCTTGCAGTGCACTTTGCCTTCTGCCTCAGGTTATGTGTGTTCTCCGTCACAGGCTTGAGTGATGAAGAGGACCAAAAGCCCGTTCGCCTCCCCCTGAAAGTTCCTGTGGAGCTCCAGCCACGGAACAACCACGCCTGGGCCCGCGTGCAGAGCCTCGCTCAGAATCCGCGCCTCAGGTACCCAGGCCCAGCTGCCTGCACAGGACTTCAGGGAACATGTCAGTATCCCTCAGGGACCTTCTTGTGTCTCAGATGAGGATCGGGTAGCCAGGGTGGGGTCCTGGATACATAACCACTGGTGTCCTGAAGACTCTAAGATCGTGGGGACACGGAGCCTCAACTCCACGGCCAGGGCCCTGTGGAGGACTAGGCAGAACATGGGAGAAGAGTGGGCTGCTCCAAGTTCTCTTTTTGCACAAAGCCCTCCTGTCCCCTCTCCCCAGCTCCTTGGAGCTCGGATTTGTGCACAGAGCACCACCCTGGATTTATAAGTGTTGACATAGTCCTTGAATGCTGTGCAGCATGCCAGCGTGGTACCTGGGCCGCTCTGCGAGCCTCACTCCCTGTCGTCTGCAGGATGATCGTGGAGCTGCACCGGAAGGTCTCCAGCCTCATCGAGTTCTTAAAGCAGAAATGGGCCCTGCATGAGGTTCGGATTGTATCTTTTTCTGATGAGGTCAAACTGCAATGTCAAGTTAGAATTAAAGCTCAGAGCCCCCCGGGCCTCGGCAGGCAAACCTGCCAAAAGGCTGAGCCGTGTGTCCGTGCTGCTGCACATTGCTCGTGGGTCCACAAGGTGTGTGAAGGTGTGCAGGTGCCTGAGGGAGAGTCTGGGGAGCATGATCAGCTCTGGTGAGGTGAGTGAGGTGGGCTTTCTGGGCCCTGTGGCTGGTGGCCAGCGGGGTGGACACTGTAGGGCGTGGTTCCTTGACGGTGCATTCAGCGCAAGACACTGGAGGAGCACCAGGTGCAGGGCCCACGCAGCCCACCAGCACAGGAGAGGGTGGCCCTGCACCTGTTCCCAGGTGAAAATTGCACGCTGACCCCGCTGCCGGGTGTGGCCCGCGTGGTGCACTCCAAGGCCTTCTGCACAGTGCACTGGCAGGAGGGCGGCCGGTGCAAGCAGAGTTCCAAGGACACTCACTCACTGCCCCCTGCCCAGATCCTGGGCATCCCAGGTGGGCAGGGCACAGCCCGGGGCCAGGTGAAGTGCCCGCGCAGTGGTGCTGAGGGAAGGGCTGGGGGGCGGCCTCTCCCCACAGATGCTTTACAGAGCTCAGGGGATAGCTCACCCGAAAGTGGTCCTGGGGAGGGGCCTGCCCCCTGCCTCAGCAGCCCGAATGCTGCTGACAGGCCTTCCCCTGGACACCAAGACGAGCCACACCTTGAGAAGACCTCTGGGGCTCCGACAGACGTGGGCGAGGGCCCCACGCGAGAGCCAGAGCCTTTGCCGTGTTCCTGCGGCCAACTCCCGGACCTGAATGATGAACTCTCGCTCCTTGACCCCCTGCCCCGCTACCTGAAGTCCTGTCAGGACCTCATTGTCCCTGAGCAGTGCCGCTGCATGGACTCTCAGCCTGGCAGGGAGCCCCCTCCTCCCAGGAGGGCACCCTCCCCAGAGACTCATGCTCCTGGTAGGGGCGGTGAGGAGGTCACTGCCCCCAGCCCACCCGGCTCGGAGCCTCTGCCAGGCCCTGGGACGCCCCCGGATACTTGCACTAAGGACTCTGCGGACATTCCCGTGGAGGAGCCCCCACAGCCTCAGGGACAGCCGCCTCCTGCCAGGCCCCCAAAGGAGCTTCCTGCCAGCCGGCTGGCCCAGCAGCTCCGGGAGGAGGGCTGGAACCTGCAGACCTCCGAAAGCCTTACGCTGGCCGAAGTCTACCTCATGATGGGCAAGCCCAGTAAGCTGCAGCTGGAGTACGACTGGCTGGCGGTGCTGGGCCCCGAGGGCCGCCCTGGCTCCCCGCCCGCCGTGCACAGGCAGCGGCTCCTCAGCTGCCTGCTGAGGCTCATCTCCACCGAGGTCAGCCCCAGGCTGGTAAGTAGGTCTGCCCCATCCTGTGGGGCTGTCAGCTGGGCTGCAGGAACTGCTTGTTTCCACTCTTGGTCCTGTGGCCATGGAGCAGAGCAGTGCCCCTTCCCTGCTTCTCTGTAAGACCCGGCAACCAAGTGGGCCGGGGGGGCGGCAGGAATCAGCAGGTGGTCTAGAGCGGGATGGAGGTTGAGCCCGCGGCCTCGCCTGTGAGAGCAACTGGGGAGAAAGGTGGGAATGAGCTGCAGGGACTGTAGGAGCGGGGCTCCCCGCAAGGCCTTGGGTGTGGGAGTGAGCAGGTGAGCAGGAGAGCCGAGAAGCTAAGACTCCTGGCCAGGTATTTCTGGGGGCTGCAGGGTGTTGAGCAGAAAGGTGGAGGCAAAATGGGCATGCTGAGCCCATGCCAGGGGCCTCCAGGGTTGGACGCGAGTTTTCTTCCTTGACTTAGAAGCTGACGGGGCCACTGTTGTTCCCATAGGCTTGGCTGGTGCGGTGGCATAGTGAGTGAAGCTTCTACCTGTGGCACCAGCATCCCGTATGGGCACCATTTCGAGTCCAAGCTGCTACGTTTTTCTACCCAGCTCCTTGTCTGTGGCCTCGGAAAGCAGTGGAAGACGACTTAAGTCCTTAGGACCCTGCAGCCGCGTGGGATTCGGGAAGCTTCAGGCTCCAAGCTTCCGATTGGCTCAGGTCCAGCTGGATGGATCTGTCTCTCCTCTAAAAAAGATTTACCAAGGAGAAAGAGATCCTCCGTCTGCTGGTTTATCCCCAACGGCTGTGAGAGCCAGAGCTGAGCCGATCCGAAGCCAGGAGCCATGAATTTATGGGTCTCCCACACGGGTGCAAGGACCCACAGGCTGGAGCCATTCTCTGCGTTCCCAGGCCACAGGAGGCAGAGAGCTGGATTGGAAATGCAGTAGCTGGGACTCACACTGTGCCCACGCAGGAGGCCAGTGCTGTATGCAGAGAATTAGCTTGTTGAGCTACCATACCTGCCCGTAAAAACTTTATTAATTCTCTATTTAGAGTTAGAAGGGGAGACAGTTCTTTCATCTGCTTGTTCACTTCTCAGATGGCCACAACAGCCACCACTGGACTAGGCCAAACCCCGGAGCTGCTTCTAGGTGTCCCACATGGTATAGGGTCCCAAGGACTTGGGCCGTTAGCAGGGAATTGGATAGGAAGTGGGGCAGATGGGACACAGTTGGCCCCCATATGGGATTGTGCTGTCACATGTGCTACTCTGTCACTGTACCTCAGTGTCAGCCCTTTGTTTCTGAGTTCTTGTCACTCCTTTTGCCTCTGGTTGTGTCCGTTCCGGAGGATTCCCACATTGCAAGTGTGGGTGTCATTTGGCCCATTTATGTCCAGGCTTCCGAAGGAGGTGCCGTGTCCACAGCCCCCGTGAGGCCTGCCCCGGAGGAGCAGTCGGCGACGCCCCCAGGGAAGATGGCCACCATCAGCTCTCGAAGCCCCCGCTGCCCTCGAAACCAGTCTGCCCTCCGCGGCAGCAAGACCTTCGCAGCGGGCTCCACACCCTGTGCCTCAGGTGAGGCTCCTGCAGGCCTCCCTGCTGCCTGGTCAGCACTGACCGGTAGCTGCGGAGGATGAGGGCTGGGCACAGGGTGTTGCTGGAGTCAGCAAGAAGCCAGGGGATGGATCCTTTGCCAGCCTGGTCACTTTGGGGGTTTTGCCTCCAGAGGCCAGAAGAGGCTCCTAGCACCTCAGAATGGCAGATTCTGTCTGAATTGATCCCCACTTGTTTTTGGTGTGAAACACCTGCGGTTACGGCGTGCTCTAGAAGCTAATGTAAGTCCTGGAAGAAAACAGCAGGAATCTGCCAGCACTGTGCACCCTGACCAACTGTGTTCAGGTTAAGTCTGTGCCCAGGGCCTGACACCACGAAGGGAGCAGGGTGCACATGCCTGTTTGTAGCAAAACAGATGGTTGTGGCTAAAATGCTGACTTCTGTGTGAATTTTAGAAGAGTAAAAAGCTTGGATAATTCCTTCCCTGTCCCCCTCACTGTGGCCCCTGAGCACTTCTGGCCACCACAGAGGTGTGTGCCCCAGTAGGCAGACCTGTCCTGGACCGTCCTGCTGGTGTCCTTCCAAGGCCCAGCAGACGCAGAGGGGCTGGGGGTGACTGTGACTGGAGCGCGCTCTGCATCTCAAGTATCGCCACACGCTCCCTGAAGCTGCTGACCACTGGTGCCCGGTGCTTCAGCCCCAGGCCCAGGTCTCCGCTGCGCATCCTACAAGAAGCGGTGTCTGTGTCAGGAGCTCAGTGTCCTGTCCTGCTTTTCCTTGTTTTCCACGGTGACTTGTGTTTGGAGAATGCCCCTGGCTGTGTTCCTTCCGAAGGAGACTTCCCCCTCCCTGGAGAAGCCTCTACCAGGTCACCCTGAAGGCATGTCCGCCTCTGAAACCCCGTGGACGGTCTGACCTGCCAGCTGGCTGTCGCACCAGTGGTGATGCGCTTTGGCCCTCCGCAGGAGCGCTGCACCCAGTCAGAATGGGAACGAGAATTTCAAGGGCAAGGTGGGAAAGCTGCCTTTGACGGGGCTGAGACACACTGGAAGGTGGGATTAGAGTGTGTTTCAGGCATAAAAATCAGTGTAGATAATGTGTCTGTGTCGTTTTTTTCATAAATCACATTTTTGTGCCCTTTTTGAAGGTGCCTTATTTGGCACTTATTTCTGAGGCAGCTGAGCGGCTCATCCGGACCTCGTGGCCTCCAGCAGGCTGCGTGCCCTGGGCGTGCTGCACCTGCAGCCTTGGCTCACGTCCCTTCTCCCTTCCAGATGTGAGGAATCCTCCGCGACCCCTCCTAGTGGCCGGTCCCTCCAGCGCGGGCAGCAGGGACTCAGACGGCGGCCTCTTTGCTGTCCCTACAACCTTGCCCCCCAACAGCCGGCACGGGAAGCTCTTCTCCCCGAGTAAGGACGCAGAGCTGAGCTTCCGACAGCATCTGAACTCTATCAGCGTGAGTGCCCCTGCCCGTACCCTCGCCCCGCCAGCAGGGACCAGCCCTTCGAGGCCGCCGCTGTTTGCCTTGCAGATGCAGTCGGATTTCTTTCTCCCCAAGCCCAGGAAGTTGCGGAAACGCCACCTGCGCAAGCCCCTGGTGGTACAGGTCAGTGCTGCTTGGGCTCCCGCAGGGGCGGGACTAGCCAGGACACACTGGTTTTCATGGGGTCAAACAAGGAGAAACAGGCCTCCACCCTTGGACTAGGACAGAAGTGTAAGTGTTAGCAGTGCGAACGACTTGGTACCTGTGAGGAAAGGGGAGCGTCAAAGCAGGCTGCGGGTCCAGGAGGGTCCCACGTTGGACCCAGAAGTGGTTGGCCAGAGGCCAGACCTCTTCTAAACCCGAAAACTGAATGGGGGGTCTACAGGCAGAAGCGGCGCCGAAGACGCACTGTGAAGGGGTAGGGTAAGGGGCGTGAGGTGAAGGGAGCTGGTCCGGGAAGGCGCGGACTGTGTGTTTTTGTGGATCAATGAGAAATTTTTGGGTTAGTCTGAGGGCCTCTTTTCCCTTGAGATTGATGCATTGCGGCATGAGCGATTGCGCAGGGCTCTTGAGAAGGAGGACACTGTGCGTCTTGGGTGCTGTTCGTCCCGGCTGTGCGCCTGTACATTCTCGGTCTGCCCTTAGCAGCGGGCAGTGCGAGCCTCGTGGCCAGGGCCACGTCCAGCTGCCTGCCGCAATGTGGGGTGATGGTTGCTTCCTCCCTCTGGGGGAGCGCTGCAGTCTTGGCCCCCCTGCACCTCCTTCAGCTCTGGCAGCCACTACTCCCGACTTCATGGCCTTGCTGCTCTGTAGTGTTCTTCCGGGCGTGAAGGTTCCATGTGGTGGTAGCTCTCATCGAGCCGTCTGGCCGCTCCCCCCATCAAGGCAAGCCTGGGGTGACTCAAGCCTGGGTGCTTCTGGCCGCGTGTCATGTGTCTCCGTGTGGCTGCTGCTGTCTCCAGTGGCTTGCCTCACTGGTTTCTCTGGTTTCTCCCGGTACTCACAGCATGGGCTTCTTGGGGGCCCAAGCTGGGTCATGGTGAGCCCCAAATCCTTTGTACAGGGGTGAGAGCAACAGCTGCGTGTTTGGTGACAGGCCCTCCTTCGCTAGTGTTTTGTCTTGATGTCCTGCAGTCTCAGTGACCTGTCCAGCTTCCTCTTCTCTGGGGCCACCTGCTGTCCCCGGTGCCCTCCTGGTGCCCTCCATGCCTACTTCCTTCTATGTGACAGGGATCCTGTATGAGGATGCTGCTCACTGTCGCCCCTGGTGGTGTGAAAGATAACAAACTGGGTCATTCCAGCTGAGTCCTGCAGTCAGCCGGGTGAAGGCGGGCTGTTCTGCTAAGCCTCCAGTGGACCCTGGCAGAGGTTCACCCTGGATTCATTTCAGAGGAGACCCGGAATTTGGGCGCTTAGGTTCCCTGGCTGCCCTCATGTCATCGGCTTCAGAACGTTCTAGTCCACTTCCTCCTCATGGCCTGTTGGTTCAAACCAGCTTTTGCAGTTTGGGTGCCGGCGTCTTCTCCCCGCCCTGACTATGGTTTTCCTCTGCAGAGAATGCTGCTTCCTAGGCCATCTGAAGGCCAGTCCCATAACGTCTGCTCCTTCTCCATCCTGTCCAACTCCTCACTCACAGGTAAAGATGGGCTTCTCCAGCTGATTCCCCTTCCTGCTGCCTGCGTGTGGCCAACAGTGGTGTCTGTGTCCTCTTACTGGGCTGGCGTGGCCTGCAGGACAGACGTTGAATGGCCTCACGTGCTCGGGGCGTCTGTGTGCAGCTGCCGCCCGCAGCGTCTGGGCAGGCACTTTGTGGAGCAGGTGTGATCTTGGATGGAGGAATGACTGAGGCTCAGCGTGCAGGTCCAGTGGGACCTGGCTCTGCAGGGGCTGCTGCGTAGGACAGCTCGTGGGGAGGCACTCTGCCCTCGGCCTTTTGTACTGGTCCTGCTGGAGCGTGACCTCCTGGAGCGTGGCAGGGTTAGACCCTGGCGTGGGAGCTGACACAGCAGTCACCTCAGAGAGGTCTGCAGCATCTTAGAGGGCCATCCCGCAAGACCACGGTGGTGGCCACAGTCTCGGCAGCTCCTGGGAGACATCGGGGGCCACTGAAACACCTGCGCATGTCACGGGCCAGTGTTGGGCCAGCAGTGTGAGCGTGGCTCAGCCAGTGAAGGTGGCCCTGAGCAGTCCCGTCAGGCAGGGAGCGTTACTGCTGTGCAGACTGACCACTGGCGGTGTCCTTGCTCTCGCAGGGAGAGGCTCCTTCCGTCCCATCCAGTCTTCTCTGAGCAAAGTGGCTGTGTCCCGACCGATTGTGCCCAAGGCCCTTCCCCCCCAGGCCACGAGTTCCCTGGCCAGTAAGTCTGTGGTAATGCCTGTCACAAGGGTCTGAGTGACACTATGAAACTTGTACTCTGCGTGAGTCACAGCCTGTAGCGTGTGGTTACTCTGTGCTCTCACACTGACCTGGGTCCTGAGAAGCTGTCCTTGAGCCCTCTGGGTGGGGAGTGTCCTGGCAGGTGAGCAGAGCCTCGAGGTGTCGTTCCCACGGCAGGTGCTATAGACCTGGCTGCAAAAAGCGCCGGCATCCTCCCTGGGAGTCCCCTCCCCGTGCTGGACGCCGAGGGCTTGTCGGGCATCTCGCCACTGGCTTCAGACAAGGTGGCAGCTGCTGCCTCAGCGCAGGACTCCACTGGAACCCACCGACATGAAGACCCCGTCCGTTCAGTGGAGGTGAGTTTGTTTGGAAGGGCTCTCCAATGTGACCACCGCTTCCCGCGGAGGGGACAAGTCCACGGGCTAAGGTCATGCTGGACCTAGGTTCTGCTTGGGGGGAAGTGGGACTGGAGGGTAGGCAGTCGTAGGGGCCGGGGGGCCCAGTGGGAGGGACAGCCAGGACCGTGCTTGGGTGGCTTGTGACACCAGGAACCTGGGCTGGGAAGTGTGTGAGGTAGCTGGCCTGCGTGACCACAGCCTCCTCTGGGAGCGTCAGGGAGAGTTCCCGGCTGTCACCCTGCATGGTCTCTAGCTGTCTTGTTGCTCCTGGCCGCCCACAGCCTGCTTGAAACTGCCAGACAGTGGGGAGGGGTGGGCTGGTTCTTGGGGTCTTGCCTGTGGCTCACACTATTTCAAACCCTGAGTTCGCTCCGTTTGCGTTTCCTCTGGGCCCTTGTTCTCACTCCCTATGGCTGCTCACCCACATTCCTGGTGTTCCCTAGGGTTCAGGCAGCTCGTTCATCAGCATCCGCTCGAGGCCTGAGGAGCCCGTGGCAGACAGTTTCCAGGTAGAGTGTGCTTTGGGGATGCTGGACAAGGTCCATACCTAAGGACTCTGCCTGCCCGAGCCAATGCTGAGTCCTGGCACACAGGCCTTGGTACTTGGCTTGCTGCCCATCACCCCTTTTCTTGTTCGTGATGGATGTGTGTTTAACTCAGATCTCCTTCCCTCCCCCCGCCCCGCAAGACTGGCTCACTCAGAGTTTGCCGAGTGGAGGAAGCTTTCAATTGGTACCTTCCTCAGAACTTGCTGTAGCTGTGTGCTCCCAGCTATCCCACGGGCAGTGGTCACCCTGGGTCCTGTGACTGCTGCTGCAGTGTGTCACGGGCAGTGCACGCCCTGGGTCCTGTGACTGCTGCCGCTGTGTGTCATGGGCAGTGGTCGCCCTGGCTCCTGACCACTGCCGCTCCTGTTTGGGGAGATGTGGATCCCCAGTGCTTTCCCTTGGAAGGGTGAGAGCTCTGCAGCCACCAGGTCACTCTGCCTGCCGCACGTCTGAGCACACCTGTCTCCAGCAGGGCTCACCTGTTCTCTCCCTGTCTGAGCTGCCCAAGGCTCACCTCCAGAACGGCCTCTCCGCACCTGTGCCCTCCTCGGAAGGCTCCAGCACTCGGCTGTCTCCACCCAATGTCTCCGCCCTGCTGGACATTTCCCTGCCCGGCCCCCCCGAGGATGTGCTGTCGCAGGGCGAGCCCGCCACACAGATCAGTGACTCCATCATTGAGATCGCCATCAGCTCCGGACAGTTCGGTAGGAACGTGGTAACCTCTCCAGCTGGAAGCAGGGTTGGCCATCAGCAAGGGGACTCGGACTTCCTGCTCAGATGTCCTGCTGCCCTTGCTGGGGCTGTGCCACTTGGGCTTTTGCTTTTGAGAACTGGACGTTGGCCTCTAAAAGGTGCTGCCAGGCTCTGGCCTTGCTGGCGCTGTCTCAGACTACAGATTCAGGAACACGCAGTTGGTAGCCTGTCAGCCTCTGGCCTACATCTTCTCAGGAGCAAGTTGGGGATAATCAGCCCTGCACAGGGCTGCTCTTAGCACAAGGCTTGGCTCCTCCATGCCACTTCCTGCCAGCACTCTGCATCACATTGTCCTGTAGCTAGAAGCCCCCCTGATGCCTCCATGACCCTCTGCCCCAGGCCTGCTCCGTCCTTTGGAGCCCGTGGTGTCCTGGACCCTCTGCCGCAGACCTGTTGCCATCCTTGTTTGTGCCCCTTTGGCACCTTAGGTCTCCACCATCCAGCTGTGCCTGTGCCACCAGCTGCCTTCTGAGGGGCGGGAAACGGGTGCTATTTCCCTGCATGTGGCTGCACTGACCTGAGACTCTGGTTGACAGGGGAAGGAGTCCCTCTCTCTCCAGCCAAACTGAACGGCAGTGACAGCTCCAAGAGTCCTCACTCTCCACCCAGCAGCCCCCAGCCCAACTGGATTGCCTCCCCCACCCATGACCCCCAGTGGTACCCCAGTGACTCCACAGACTCCTCACTCAGCAGCCTGTTTGGTGAGTGTGGCTCTCCCGTAGGACCTGCCAGGGGCCAGAGTCCACGGGACTCCAATCTCGTGTTGGTGGCTGCACTCCCACGGGGGCTGTGTGTCTTTTGGTTTCTTTCTTTTGGGGAGATGCGGGGAGGTCTTGAGTTTTCACACGGTGTGGAGTGGGCGGGGGAGATGCAGATTCTCTGTGTTTCGAAGAGTAGCAGGGAAAGGGAGAGAGAAAAATCAGTGTTCCCTCCATGGTTCGCTCCTCAAGCGCCTGGGCTGGGCTGAAACCAGGAGCCTGGAATCCCATCACATCTCCCACATGGCAGGGGCTCAAGTATTCGGGCCATTATCACTTCCTCCCAGTTGCATTAGCAGGAAGCTGTATTAGAGTAGCCAAGACTTGAACCAGGGGCTCTGCTGATGGGTTAATACCCAGGTGGCCGTTTGGACTCTGTTGGCTCCTCTGTGAGGGCAGTGCAGTGCTCTGTGGCATATTCTCACAGGTCGGAGTTGAGGGCACACATGGCACGCCCACTGCCTGTGCTCAGGAGTGCCAGGTGTTGGTGTGGAAGGAAGGGCCGCTAGGGACACATGGGCTACTAGCTGCCTCTACAGGAAAAGCTTCCATGAGGTCATCAGGGGCGACTGCTGGGGGTGACAAGGCAGCCCTGGGACAGGCGTGGTAAACAGATGGCAAATTCATCAGAGGAACTGGGGCTTGGGGCTTGGGACTGTGGGGAGAACCAGCACTGTGAGCTGTTACTATTGTCATTCATAGTAGAGACATGTCAGAGGTAAAGCTAACTCGGGGAAAAGTTGGAACAGCCTTGGTGCCCATCTGATCAGAGAAGGGGGGGGGGGTCCTGAAGAATGGGGGTAGACCTGCACGCTCCCAGGCTGTGGGAGAGCAGTTAGAACACTGCACAAGAGTTCCTGATGCTGGGTGCTTGCGAGGCCCTGGCCAGACTATCCACCCTGCCCACAGGACCCTTCTCGCTGAGGCAGATGTCACAGTGCCCCTCCCTGGCCTTCTCTCTGCAGCGAGCTTCATCTCCCCCGAGAAGAGCCGAAAGACGCTGCCGGCCACTGCTGGGGGCAACAGCAGCACTTGCTTGCTTGGCCCCACTCTGTTGGACGGGAACTCACGGGACTCATTTGTGTCCAGGTCCCTGGCAGATGTCACAGAGGTGAGTGGAACCTGACCGCCAAGCCTTCCTTTGCGAGGATCCTGGATTCCTCCTGCTACTTGGCAAGTGGTTCTCCACCAAGATGTTAAGTATTTAGGAGGCAACACATTCATATCCAGGTCTCTGACTAGAGAATGGAAAGATCTGGAAACCTGGGCCAGTGGCAGACCCTAAGATGACAGTCCAGCTATAATGGCACCAGAGCTGGGAGGCGCTGGGTTGGTGGAGGTAGGCGTCAGAGCTGGGGAGCGCTGGGTTGGTGGAGGTAAGCCTGTGAAGGCAGACAGTGCTGAATCGGGTCTTGTTGAGTGCTTCTCTAGCTGTGAGGCTGCAGACTGCCTGGGTGACCTGAGGCGGGGTTCGGGGTGGGTGGTAGATGTGACGCCATCTGGCCCCCAGGCTAGCTGTAGCACCCCCTCATTGTGCTGTACCTGGCCAAGGAAGCTGACGAAGTCTGGGCAGTACAGATGTACGCCTCCCTTGCCCCAGGCAGTTGGAGTCCCATGTGGCAATGGTCCATACAGAGGCTTTGTGTTGTCATAACCCTTCTTTAAACCAGTGCGGTCTCTTTTTGCTAACAGGCTGGATGCTCCTGTGGGTCAGCCAGGCCTTGAGGAAGGTAGAGACGGGGCATATCCATTGGTCACCCAAGATGGAAAGCAGCAGGTGCTGTAAGAAGACACAAGGGCCTGTAACCAGCTGCTAACTTCCTGGAGCTGCACTTCCCAGGGCTGGCTCTCAGGCCTTGCTAGGTGTCCTTAAGGACACTGCCATCACATAGTTGAGGAGAACCTGGACCAAACAGGTCCAGGATGCCTCAGAGAAGGCCTGGGGAACTCGGCCTGCCCGGGACATGACATCAGCAGTGACGTGGTGAACCCTGGGTCCACCCACCGGAGGCTGGTGGCTTTGCCTCCGACATGTTTGGATGCTGGTAGCACAGAAAGTCAGGACCTCCTACTCTGGGTGACCAGTAGGCCATGTGCAGAAGCACATTGCAGTTGGAAGGGGCCCACCCTTTGGCCCCTAGTCAGAATTTACATCCTCAGCAAGATCCCAGGTGAAGTGTTGCACATGTGGGCGGGCAGGACCAAGCAGACACTGCTGATACTCTGGAGGGACCCATCTGTTGTGAGCAGCTTGAACGGCTCGCTGCAGAAAGACCTTCCTGAGCACCCAACGCCCACACATGTTGTCTGTGAGGCAGTGTGGACAGGGTGACTGAGGGGGTTTCAGTGGAGCTGACCGTGGTAGAAGCTGAGGCTGGACAGGGCAAGGCTGGCACTGTTGGATCTGCCTTCCCAGTGAACACAAGTCATGGGGAGGAAGCCACCAGCGTGCTTCCACCATGGAAGGAGCTGCCCTGGCATTCCTTGTAGCCCAGCATACCGGCCACCTTCCAGGGCATGCCAGTGGGAGCCACCTTCCCCAGGAGTGCCTGTCCTGGTGGCCAGCTGCCCCTGACCTGCTCCTGTCTGTCCCCTCCATCGTCCAGGTGGTCGACTCTCAGCTGGTGTGCATGATGAACGAGAACAGTATTGACTACATCTCTCGCTTCAACGACCTGGCCCAGGAGCTGGCCATCACCGAGCCTGGCCGCCGAGAGGCTCTGTTTGACGGGAGCGGAGGTCCCCCTGTTGGTGACCTCTCGCAGTGAGCGGACCTCGTGGCAAGGGCCTTCTGGAGGCTCGAGGAGAGAGATGAGGCCCTCTTCACCCTTGAGAAGACCTCGGTCCCCAGTCCCAGAGGATGGGATGGACAGAGGCCCGTCTGTCCCCCAGAGGGGGTCAGGAGCCACCGGTGTGCCCTCGGGAGCCTGATTTGTTCAGATAGCAGGATGCCCAGTCCGGCCTACACTGTCCCCTCCATTGGGGTTTTCTTCCTAAGAAGGGTGCGTGCCTTGGCAGGAATATTGCTGCCTGAGGAGGGGTGGTCCGGATGCTGCTGCTTGCTTTCTGCCAAACCTGGGCCACAGCTCGGCTGCCTTCTTGCAAAGTGACATTGGGATACAGGGGGTGAGGCCAGTCTGTTCCTCAGGACCACAGTGGTTCAAGGGACGTGCTGTTCAGAGGGCAGCGGAACCATCCTGCCAGTGTTCTCGTCTTTTGCCTCTTGGTCTGGATGCTTTGATCTACCCTAACTGCGGCAGGGCTGGTCAGGCTGTCGCAGTGTGCAGCTTGTTCGCTGCTTCCCCCCACCTGCAGGTGCGGCTTGGGTCTCCCGAGATGGCGCTGCTCTGTTGGGTCGGCCCTGAGCACTGAGGCAGGAGCCTGTGCTGCACCGCCCTGGTGTTGGGGAGGCCTGCTGTGTGCCTCGGTCCTGAGGCCCCCCAGGCAAGGTCTGGGCGTTTGCCTCCCCCGGCCCCATCTGGTGGCAGTGATGTCGGGTTCAGGCTTTCCTGAGAGGCTAAGGCTCCCTGGCCTCCTGGGCCTCAGGGGTCCCTGCACAGAGGTTGCCGTGAGCCACCAATGTAGCGCCAGGGCTGCCGTCTCACCTCCCACTGCACCCCGGGACTGCACTGCCTCTGCTCCCCATCTCCTCACTTGGCTGCCCAGCTGCCACAAAGGACGCCTATGTGACCGTAGGGGCCTGTGCGGTGCTGATGTCCCCAGCACAGGGCTCCCACCTTGTCTCGGTGCCCTCGCTGGTCAGCTGGCTTCCTGTGCTTGGGTCCCAGGCTGGGAGGAAGGCAGGACATGAGGGTCTGTGTGTCACCCAGTGCACGGTCTTTGCATGGCACTTGCAGCTCAAGATGGGAAGGGCACCAGGCTGAGGAGTGAGCCAACAGGTGTGCCCGTGGGAGATGCGTTGCCTGCCGGAGGAGGTGCTGGTCTCCCTGGGAGCCCGAGCACTGACCAGGAGGTGGGGCTCACAGTACCAGTCCCTGGTGCCCCTTGCACAGGGATTGCTTCCCAGCATCCTCCAGGCACTGGAGTCGGAGCTGGTGCTTGGCCCTAGTTCATGGTGGGTGTGCAGCACTGACACCTGTGTGAGCCACGGGGAGGGTGTGCTCGGGGCTGGGGGTGTGGGGTTCGGCCGAGCTGAGCTCCTCGGGTTCTCAGCCCCACCGCAGGAGACAGCACTCTGCTTGGGAAGGGCCACAGTTGGCCCTTGCCAGCCGCCTCCCAGGTACCTGGGCAGCAGGCAGAACATCACTGTCCTATAGTCGCTAAGCCATATCATCTAAGGTTTTTGGCTTGTTGGAGATGTGAATTTGTTTTATAGATTCTAAGTATACAGTGTATGTATAAAGCAGAATGCCCGCCCCTCTTGATTATTTTTTGTACCATACTGTAAAATATTATTTATTCTTTACCAATTTTGGGAATAAAAGGTGTTTTGGTTATTTAATAAAAGCTGTTAAACTTCTGTTTAAATTTCCAGTTCAACTTGTAAATGTTTTTATTGTGCATAAATACATACTAACCCTTGACCAGCTCTGCTTCGTCCGTGCCCTTTGTCCAGCGGGCCGGTGGGCGTGCCCGGCGCCGGAGCGGCGGCTGCTCCGGCCAATGGGTGCGAGCGTGGGAGGGGCGGGCGCCGTGCCGGGATTGGCTGCGCAGCCGTGACGGGCGCGGGCCGAGGCCACTGGGCGCGGGTGGGCGGGCCGAGGCCCCCTGAGGCGGGCCGGCGGGAAGCGCGGCGCCGCGGCCGACATGTTCCAGGGCGCGGAGGGCGAGGGCGGGCGGCCCGGCTCCAGGTGCGGTGAGGGACGCGGCCGCGTGAGGGGAGAGCGCGCGGGCCGGGCCGGGCTGGGCTGGGCGCGGGCCGGGGCCGGGCCGGGCTGGGTGCGGGCCGGGGGAGCTCGCGCGCGGCGGGCCCTCGCCGGGAGCGCTGGCCGCCCCCGGGGCCTGGCTGGCCTCAGCTCTCGGCGCTCCGTGGGCCGCGGAAGTCCCGCGAGTGCAGGCCTGGGCGCGGCGGGCGTGGTTGGGCGCACCGGGTGGCCCCGGGTCGCTGCTGGAGCACCATGCGTGCGTGGGCCCCCCACTCTCCCCTTCGCCTTCACGCCGCGGGAGCTGGCGGGCAGGTGGGGCAGACCTGGGACCCGCGGGGCTTTAACCATCCTGGGTCTGCATCTGCCTTCCCCGCCCTGCCGAGGGTTCCTCCTCCCGAGTCTGGGAGTTGCAGAGCTTAGCGTCGGTAGCGTTTGGTGCACCTCTGCGTCTCGGGTCTTGGGACCCTGCAGGGGGCAGTGGCTTTTGTTTTCGGTGTCCATCTGCGCCCTGTCTTTTCTAATTGGCTAGGACCCTGGTTCCTCTTTCAGAGTTACCTGGAAGAGATACTAGGAAAGAACGAAAAACATCCCAGCCACTCCCCCCCCCCCCCCCCCCCCGGGCCAGTGGTGCTTGGAGCGGCAGGCCACACTGCCCTATTGTTGGGGCCTTTTTATTGAAAGGTCTTTTGAACTCAGCTCCCTTTATCTGAGACCCTGCTGGGGCAGCCCTGGGATTTGCCTTGCTGTTGTGTTGTTATGGCTGTTCCTGCCCCCACTGCCTTGCGGTTGGGGGAGAGGCGCAGCCCCTGCTCTGGCCCCGGTGCAGCAGCCTGACGGGTGCTGCGCTTCCTGCCCGGGGTGGACGGGGCAGGGGGTGGGGGCTCCCCTCCTCCAGGACCCCTTGGATTTTGGAAACACTTGGTGCCTCTGTCGTGTCACTGCCAGAGCCCCTCCCGCCCCAAGCCACCAAGGCAGAGCAGCGGGAGGGAAGATGTGGCCGAGGCCAGGGGTGTGCAGGGTCGGAGAGGCTGGACCTGGAGTCAGGAGTGAAAATGCTGAGGGCCGTTAGTCTGCTGTAGGGAGCCAGTGCCCCTCCTGGCGGAAGCGTGCCTAGTCACTTGGAAGTACATTTTTTCTAAATGAAATCCTTCAGGAAGTGTTGAGCAGGCAGGTTTGGCACGTCCGTCTCCCGTCCCGCGAGTAGGCAGGGACTGGCGGCAGCTAAGAGGCTGTGAGGGCGGTGCCTGGCACATGGTCCCCCCAGCAGGGCACTAGGCGTCAGGGTCAGCGGGCAGCTTTGCAGGGAGGCCCTCCTGGGGCTCAGGACTGTCAGGATCCACGGGCGTGGGAGCCGTTGTGTAATTAACATCGCCCGTGAGCCACACAGAATCCTAAGCCTGATCAAGTCGCATTGTCTGCGTCCCTCCTGCCTGCGTTGCCTTGCCAGGACCAGGCCAAAGGTTCCCTGCCCCGATGTAGGGGGGATCCACACGGTGCCTTGTCTTCAGCAGCCAGCATCTGGCCCAGTAGTCGCCACACACACACACCATCTCAGGGGCTTCTTGCCAAAGCAGATGGAGGTGGCCGGGGCATCCTTCATGAGCCCTGGTTTGTGTCCCAGCTGCGCCAATTTTTTCTTAAAGACTTACTTATTTTTCCTAAAAAGGCAGATCCAGAGAGGCAAGAAGATCATCCATCCACTAGTTCACTCCCCAAGTGGCCACAATGGCCACAGCTGAGTTGAGCTCAAGCCGGAAGCTCCTGCACGTCTCCCATGTGGGTGGAGGGTTCCGAGGATCTGGGCCGTCCTCCGCTGCTTTCCCAGGCCACGGCTCAGCTGCTCCACTTCCAGTCCACGTCCTTCCTGGGGAAAGTAGTGGAGACAGCTTGAGCGCCCGGGCGCTGGCCAGCCCATACCGAGGACCCAGGGGAAGCTCCCAGCTTCTGCCTAACCCGGCACCTTCAGATTCCCCACCCCAGCTCGCTCGACCCCTTCCTGAGGCAGCTAGGGCGGAGTTGAGGCCCTGTGGCTGCCTCTCATCCATCCTGTGTGGCACAGTGCTTGCCTCAGGATTGCTGTGGGCTTGGGCAGTGGAACGGGCTGTGTGCTGCCAGCAGCAGTGTGCACGTGACCCAGACAGGCTGGGCACGTACTGAACTCCACCCAGTGTGGCAGTGTGAGGCCAGAGGAGTTGAGTCACGGGTAAGCCACTGTGGCATGGCAGACGCAGTCACCACCTGCAGCGTCTCCCACTCCTAGTGGGTATCCGTACATAGCCAGGCAGCTCCAGTTCTGGCCCCTCGCGTGGCTCAGTCCCGGAGGACAGCTGGGGAGTCAAGCAGCGGATGAAATAATTCTGTGTGTCTCGCATTCTCTAACTTTAACTTTCAAAACAGATAAGTCTCTTTTCTCAAGCTTTTCTTTCCATATTAAATAGAGTGTGCTTTCCAGGGAGCTTGGGGTCAGAAAAAGTCATCCTCCATGTTCCAGGCAGCATTAGGCCCCACAGGTCACAGTACCCGGGCTAGGGCACTGGTGGGGTTCCCTGGAGCCCCGCAGGTCACGGTACCCGGGCTGGGCACTGGTGGGGTTCCCCGGAGCCCCGCAGGTCACGGTACCCTGGCTGGGCACTGGCGGGGTTCCCCGGAGCCCCACAGGTCATGGTACCCGGGCTGGGCACTGGTGGGGTTCCCCGGTCCAGGCTGGCCCTTGTGACGGTGTGCTTTGTGCTTGCAGAGCCATGAAGCCCCCCGGAGGAGAATCCAGCAATCTCTTTGGAAGTGCTGAAGAAGCTGCGCCCTCGAGCAGACCCAACAGGATGGCGTCTAATATTTTTGGACCGACGGAAGAACCTCAGCACCTGCCCAGGAGGACCAATCCCCCAGGCATGCACGGAGGCTGTAACTCTGTCCCTGCACCATGACCCTTACCTGCAGTTAGTGGCCCGTGTCCTCTGTCCGAGTGCTTCTGAAATGACAGGTCCTCTCCTGCAGGGGCTCGAGCCTGCCTGCTGCGGCACTGGCACGGGTTGGCTCCGAGCCCTGAGGCCACTGTGTCTCGAAG